TCGTCACATAGATTTTAGGTTGTATCTGTTCTTATTAATTTTCTATCTTTACGTGTATCTCAGTTTTGTGTCTGTTCTTATTATTACATTTTTTTATCTTCACATGTATCTCTAGGGCTTGTGATGAGTCTGCCCACCGAGCTCGCTCGTTCCATCGATTACGACTGTGTACCGTCTGAATTTCTCTTCTACCAGCTGGTGTTCTGTACCATGCTGTTCTCGACTGGAGAAGCTTTGCCAAGACAGTGTTACGGTATGGCTGTATCCTTGCGTGCGTAATATTGTAAAGGAGATTGCTTGAACAGGTGATGCGTCATTCATGGCTGATATGGATATGTGTTCCTGGAACCCAATATAATTAGGACGTGTAGCGCGAGTGGTATGACCGCAGTATTGAAGCCTGTGTTCTTGTGTGTGTGTGTTGTTGAATTGGCAGAGCCTTAAACAGTGACCTTCTAGGCGTATCAGTGGATACGGCCTATCACGAGACAATTGTTTCGGTTGTCGATGATACATTTCCATTTTTTTTAAATTTCGGCAGGGGTGGTGGCTCCTATTTGCTTTTTATTTTAGAGAATGAATTCAGCCCCATTTTGATTCTCACTCTCGTTTACTGATAACATGCACGCTCGACTGGCCAATTTCGTGTTCAATTTATACTCGGTCCATATGCTATTAGTTAGAGCATATATTGAGTCTATCTGGTATCAGTTTTGAACTATGAAAGTCTTTAAATACTATCGACCGCTACTCATTTGTCTACAGGTGTTAATCATTTCACGGAACCTGGCTTTGAGGCATCTTACATCCTCACTTACTTTTATCCTCATGTAATTGATCTGCGTGCATCCCATCGATTTAGATCATTGGACCGTCGAACTGTTGCTGAAACTGCTTGAGTTGGTGGAAGATGTAAACGACTCGGCGCTCAGTTCACATGTCTCCGAGGCAGCCTTCAATGTACTTGTAAGTTATTGTGCGTCCGATCAAAAGAAAGTTGATCCGCAGTATGTTAATTTTACTTCTGGAGTGCAGAAGCATAGGCCAACTCAATCAAATTCATAAACCAGGATTTTTGCAACAGGTCTTGTGGAGATTAATGTCTCAATTGGAAATTTTAATAATCCTGTTCAGAGAAGTGTACGCGGGATGGATATTACACGATTTCTAACTCACAATTCAACTTCCATCATATTTCCAGCTTGCTTTTAATTTGCACCAAAGTGCCGGTGACACGATTAAAGCAGACGGTGTCCATTCTAACCAAATAGTTATGGATGCTGTGAACAGAACAGATGGATGCCAATTGTTCAGTGAGAGATTGCTACTTTTGGTCAATCGTAACGGTATGGCGGAATCCGATCGGAACTTTTTATTATTTCGCGACGGATTGAGCATATAGATCTTCCTATCGCGGTGTATATGCATCTTTCTACGAATATAACCATTTCATAGTTATATACATGCATGTGCCTGCCGTGTAATATGCTTTTTTTTCTCTCACAACCTAAATTTTTGGAGATATAGTGGTTAACAATCAAATACTTGTATTCTGTGAATAGTGTATCGTACACATCGTTACTTAACAAAGGTTCTTATGATAAAACCTCTACCTTCACACCTCAGATGAAAAAGATTATATGATTAAAGAAGTATATATATCAAGAATACGGCCAAGTCGAGGATGCACTTAAGCACGCACATATCAGTGTGGTTTATAGCGATACATCTGGCGATTTCAAGAGTTTCGTATGACTTCCTAAATCGGCGTAATTTTGTGTTCCTGCAGAGGATCCCGTAGTGCTACCCATCACGCCCGGAGATAATCACACAGATGTACCGAATTCATTGCTGCACATGCTAAGGTGCCTTTTCGGATGTCGAGCCACTGCGTCTATATTCTTCACGAACGATTTGCGGGTGCTTGTAGATATAATCTTGCGAGAGATGGAGAATTCGGGACCAGACAGTTCGGTATATCGTGCGATACGAAATCATGTCATTTGGCAATCAAATGCAAAGGATTTATTTGCTGTCGAGCCTTTTTTACCTTGTCTATCACGTGTATACGGCGTATGAGTTGTTTTTTTTGTGCAGGTGTTTGTTGAGATAAACTCATGAACTATAATGGTATCCGTTTTCAAAGAGTACTAATATATATATATATATGTACATAAACAAAGTACATATATTTTCCTGTACGCGAATGTATATATAAATGCGTTGTATATATGATTGAATATACTCATATGTACACGCATGTGAATGGATTATATGTGTGCGTATCCTTAATTATATATGTGTATGTATCCTTATATCGCTATCAATAATATTAAGTATTTCCTTTTAATATGCTCATCAACCCACGTGTGTTGTAGCATCGGTGCATACGCTGGCGACACAATGATTACTCGTTCTCGACTGCGCATATGTATTGCTACAAATTTGAGAAAGCAAGTATAGACCGTTTTTCTTCAACGGTGCACGGCTTAGGATTCGCAAAGAATTTACGAGCAGGTGTTTCTATACACACTACTTGTACAAGCCATCTTAAGCCCATCTGTCCGTATTTTAATTGTATTCGGCTTGTTCCCCTATAGTCTCTGCAACTCTGGCTGGATATCCTGTTACGCATAGCTCTGAACACAGACACGGGCACAGAATACAGGATTGCGGATTTGCGCATCTGTTTATCCGACTTACTGGGACACACGCTCCCAGAGAAAATGAAAGCTACAGCCACGACAATACTTGAAGTTTTGCCCGTCGAGTAGATCGAGTATGTACGTGTATAGTATACAAAGTACGTAACTCACTTAGTTTAAAAATATATATTGTAAAGTTAGTTTTCAGTCCCTTCAACTCACACCACTCCCCCACCCACAAGATTTTCGTCCGTAAGATTTAGGTTTTCTATTTTCTATGGCAAGCAAATGTCAAGCGTCGAGGCGTCCTAAGTCAGGGCGCTGCTGCATAGGCTTCGAGTGATTCGGATTGTATAGTTTATACCCATATAAGAAGTCTCCTACAGACGTTTTCGCACGAATACGAAATCATGCGAACTCGTATACAGGTTCTTCTGCGCGAGCCTACACATCACAGATGATGACAATTGTGTGCAGTGGAGACTAATTTATCATGTTATGCGACATCGATCGATTGTTGACTTTGAGGTGTGCTTGTGTGTACAAAATTGGAATCGCTGCAACAAAGATGATAAAATCGGGGGATTTGGAATCCTAAGAGCTGGTATATAATGTTGAGCGGATTTTAGTACCTATATATATGCCGGTTGCAGGACTATATTGGATATATTGATCGTGGGCCTGTACAAGGATATCTTAAGATAACTAGACTGTGATTGGAACAAATTGGTATGCGCTGTGTCAAGATATAGAATGCGAGCGGTGCCATTCCAAGATTACAAGCTCTCTCAAGAGAAATAATTGGTAGTTCAGTGCAAACAGTTGTCCAAACCATCAATGTTATTAAATCGTAATCGACGACCAGAAATGCAAGAGTCTCAGTAAACTCTAAACCCTAAGATGAAGGCTTAACTTCTGAACGATTGTAGTTACGCCCATCCAGATTGATGAAGCAAACGATATAGATTCAAAAGAAAGGATGCACGCACGCCCGCTTTGACTTTGGTAGTTCGAGAATCATATTACATTGCAAGATTTAATACAACTGGCATGTCTCGTCACTATATCTACAAGTCTATAAACCTTCCAGCCAGCGGATCGTCCAGTGGTATGGCGGAAGGCATAGTCGTACATGGTCTCGCGTACCACAAAACACAGAAATAATGGGAAATTGATCCACTCAGAACCATAAAGTGCCACACAGCGTGTAGCATTGGCTTTGTGCGTCCAGCCAAATAAAACCCCACGCCGAAAGTGTAGAAGGCGCCTCCGAGCGCAAGCAAGTATACACCATCCATCTGCATGCACGCCATGAGTTCCCGAAACGGTACTGCTGCAGCCCAACCCTGTTTCGAGAGACATTTGCAAAACATATGACATCAAAAAGAAATATAAATTGATAGGGTCTGATGCACTCATGTCATATAATAGCGCCACTCCCATAAATCAAATTCCATTTCTTCTGTACATTACAATTAAATTTCATAAGGAGCATGTAGGCTACAATATACGATGCATACCCGTGCCAAACCTAACAGGTGTGCCAATTAAAGCAAGCAGACATTTGCATCAGCTACCACACGTATGTATGGTCACGTACAGTCACCAAGTCGAACAAACTTAGCACATGATTGACATTACCATTAGCAGGAAAACTATGAAGCAAACGATTGACAATACCAATAAGAGAAAAACTCTGAAGCACGTGATTGACATTACCATTAGCAGAAAAACTATGAAGCACATGATTGACAACACCATTAGCAGAAAGACTATGAAGCACATGATTGATAATACTATTAGCAGAAAAACTATGAAGCACATGATTGACAATACTATTAGAAGAAAAACTATGAAGCATATGATTGTCATTACCATTAGCAGAAAAACAATGAAGCAAATGGTTGACAATACAATTAGAAGGAAAAATATGAAGCACATGATTGACATTACCATTAGCAGGAAAACTATGAGCTCGTACTTGGCGTACTTCTTGCCCTGGAAGGAAAGCACTATAGCGAAGACGGCCAGTATCCACTCCGCGCTCCCTATATGTTTATAGATGGAATAGCATATTAGTTACATAGGTGCACAAGAAAAACTACATAACTACAATTATTCTGACAACTGCATACTAGACTTCTCGATAAGTTTAGCAATTGATCTCGGATTCGTAGTATTGATAGTGCGAGGAAGTTTCTTGCTTGTCAGTAGATGCTAACCGCACATGTGTATAGCCATCGGTCATGATACTTAATTTCATATATTGCCATAACTTAAAAAAAGTACGAATCGAATCACCACACAAATGAGATACGAAGGGTACTACAAAGACAACGATGTACTGTCTTCAACACCAATATTTGAAGCTGAAGAAGTACAATACAAGTGCGCTTAAAACAATGAATACGTGAACGATAAATTTGAGGCTTGCTTGCTAACAACTGAAAGCTACTGCCGGGTTACTACTCCCACCTTCCTGTAACAATGAAACATACCCAAAGCAGGTCCGGCGAAAGTGTGACCCAAATTCACCCACGAGAATGGTGTGTAGCTGCCAGCAATCAAGACGGCGATGCAAGAATGATCTAATATCTGTGGCATACGAAAACGTGCGGTTTGTAATGTTAGCAGATGGCCCCAACCCCACACATATTACAACTAAGTCCGCTCGAATATTTGAATTCTGACGATTCTGAGAAGCGACACTACGAAATACACTGCCACGGGTGACTAAACAAATCTCAGATGCACGAAGACATGTATTCTCCGTTAATTTGCGACGAGTAAATCGACTTGATTGTCCTCTCAGCGCGCAATAGAGGAGAAGGAGAAGATAGCCAAAATTGTGGTACAATAAGATACGATATAAGCACAATGCGTAGAACTTAGAAAATGGCTATTCACGAGAAAGTACAGAAACAAATAAGACAAACCGTACAAAACATCGCGCCTTCTTCACCTGAAAAGATTTACATGAACAAATACACATGCTCACGCATACCACAAAATGCATACTAACCCAAAATATGAATATGAATTCAAAAATAACATATATATATATATATATATATAAATATATATATAAATATATATATAAATATATAAAGTATATATATATATTTATATATACATATATGTATACACATACACACACATATGTATATATATATATATATATGCATACATACATACAAACATACATACATACATACATACATACAAACCTACATTCATACTACATACATACATGCATGCATAC